AGTGATCGTGACTGTCAGAGTCTTTAGTAGATGATGGATAGCCATTGTTGTATCGTCATCCAATCTCGACTTCTTGATTTGAGAGAAATACCCATTGGGATATCGTTAATTGACGCACGTTGCTGATATATGATAGTTAAACATTGTGGTTTTGACTTTCCTCAACCTTTTTATGCACACTCTCGATGAGTTATGAACACCTGATCAGATTAACTGAACATTACCCGCCCCAGGGTTAAAATAAGCGTTTTTTCTGAACAGAAAAGAAACTCCTACTTTGAAGGCTCAAAGGGGTTAACGAGGGTCTATCTCCCTTATATCTCTGATGTTTAGAAATTGAAACAAGGCATGCACATCGTCAGCAGAGTCTTACTCAAAAGCGTACCAACCAGAGATTTTTTGAGTTTTTAGATCATCGTCATCCTCCCTCCAATCTTTACCTAAGCATAAGACTTGGAAACTTGGCATAAATATGCAAGTAAAACATTTAAAGAGTGATACGAATGGATGGATAAAAACGAAAAGAACACTTCAAGACAAGCGTACTTGTTGCATTAAGATTTTCATTAAAAAATAGAAAGTTTATACATGCAAGTAATGTTTAAACAAACAAGTAAGAATGCGAATAAAAATGCAGTAAAGAAATCAATGATTGCCATCATTGAGAAGACTTGGCTCCGTTTGGGTTTCTTCATTCTGACGACTTTTTGCAGTCTCGATGCTTAAATAAGCGAGAGAATTCCCCTTCTGATTTGACTTGAACACAACAATCTTTGAATTGAGCTAGTCTTGGACCTTGTCTTTAGATTCTATACTATCTTCATTCGAATGGCGAGGTTCCCCAGAATAATTATGCATAGAAGATTCTTTCAGGAGATTGAATAAATGCTTTACCAAGAGAATCGGTATAAACTCAAGCATATTACGCCATAAAGAGAAAATACAATTCATCTTCTATCAGAATAATAGAGACATCCAACTCGTGAGAAAGATCCTGGCAGTCGGCCGAATAGGAATTAGACTTTTGGAAGAGACGACAGACAAGTGATGGGCTTTATACTTCAACTCTTTTGCAATATTAAACATCAAAACCAAGTACCTCAATAGGAAGATAAGTTTGTGGGGGGAGGAACCCAACAATCAGAGATGGAAATAACAGGATATAATGCATTGGGCTTGTACCAACATGCTCATCAGGCTTCTTCTATCTTTGCTTAGAAGCTTTTTTCCATGAATTCACTAGGGGAACTAATATTGGTTGTTGTCGAACAGAGCAGGGAACACAAGGCTGTGGAGAACGCCCCTGATTAAAAAGTCTGATTCCCCGGTGTGGCAACCACATCTGACGTTGGTCACCAAGAATGAAGCACTGATATAAGACCTTATAGTAAATGGGAACCATCTGCTGATAAGATATTCCAATAACTCAAGATTGTGTAGCACTCCATGGTTGAAAGAAATTCCCAAAAGATGAGGATAAGGGAGAACTTGCTGCGGCAGTAAGTGCAAGATTGTTAACATCATCATCAGAGCTTCGATGACCTGGCTTATCCGAGTCTTCAATCAATTATCTCCCTTCTCGAATAATTTCTAAACACTGGCTAAAGCTTGCATGTATACCACAACTAACCCTATCGGTATCTTCGTATCGGTTAATCCTCCATGGGGGTTATCACATAGTTATATCTGAAAATGTGCAGTAAGAAATCAAGTCTAAACTTCTAAAGCGAGCACCAGGTCTGAATAAGAATCCCCAGTCTTTGAGTACCTGTTATGGATGCATGAGTATGCATGGGGTACATGAATGGATGCCATGTCATGTTCCGTCATTTCCATGGAATTTACGTGCTTTGATTTTGATTTCGCGCAAGTAAAATATGGAAGAGTTTAGCACAAGAATTACAAATACGATTCCTTGGAAATAACATAACATGTATGTCAGGCATGTGGTTAACCATGTTATGTATGCAAAGACATGGGATCAAATGGGATAAAGGTTCCATCATTTCTGAATATGATTGTTGCATTGTTTCTGAACCATATGAATATCATCAGATCAAGGGTCCAACATAACTTCTGCACATACAAGAACCAAGTACCCTGTAGATCTTCCATTGTACGGGATCAAGGCTTCTCAAACATCAAATACTATTGAGCCTTTTCTGAACATGTAGGGAATACCAAGATCAAAGGCTCGAATGAACCTCCAAGTAAACAAGTCAGTAAATCAGAAAATAAATTCGAGCACCCCATAGTCACCAACCGCACACCATCTGAATATAGTTACTATTTGAATACGTCACTGACATAAATCCAGAACATAACCATTAGAACCAATAGTCATTTTCTGAGCATAGTCACCATATGAACATAGTCACCATTTAAACATAGTCACCATCTATACTTGTGATAAAGTATTCCCTCCCCACTCACGTGTGAAAACTAGGTCATGGTAAAGTCGGGTAACTCAAAATCACGGGTTCGCTTGAGAGTACTATCATCGTACACCTACGTGATAATGATAACACATCATTAAAACCTTATTTGAGCGTGGATGACACAATCGTATAGGGTAATCTAATCCCCTATCTGTCATGTTCCACTTTATTCCTAGTGTTCTTATGGTTATCACTTGGCCTGGCTATTGGGTCTTTTACCTCTTGTAACACCCACCCAACAAGAAACGTATCCAGTACAGCAGTAGCATATGGAAAATAGTTAAAAATACAAAATGGATGAATAAATAGAAAGCATAAAAAATAAACACCCAAAGAAAAAGAAACAAGAGCTAGGAGCGACTCCGGGATGGACCAATATTTGGTCGACAAATCCCTAGTGAAGTCACCAGCTAAAACAACTGGATGAAAATCATCAAACAATGAAGTTGTCATCGAACGTCTTTTATCCCACATGAAGGGAAAGGTAAACATCGAGAAAACCTGAGAAGGGAGAAGTCACGGTCTTGCGATCGAGATATCGGGTAAGGGAGTTTGTTACGCGAGGGGAAGGTATTAGCACCCCACACGCCCGTAGTACTTTATGGTATCCACTCTTGTTGTCTATCTTATGGGTGCGTTTAATCTATGCTTACTATTTACTACTGAGAAAAATGCATGCAAAAAGGAAGGAGAAAAGAATGTAGGGAAAAAAAAGTATACTCGCTTGGGCCCTACCCTAATGCCTACGTATCCTTTTTGAGGAATCAGAGCTACCGTAGTTCGGCTCACATGTTTTTGTTTGTTTGTGTTTTTTATGGACAATGTTAATTGCCCCTTCTGCTATAGCTCGACCTTTGGAGACTTATGCATTGGCACAGAAGTAAATTAATTATGTCCTTACCTAAAAACAGTTTTAGAGAAAAGGTGCTCGAGCGTACAAAAAGGTTTGAGTTAGTTTGTATTTTTGTTACCTTGAAAAAGAGTTTAAGTGTTATTAGCATGTTTTTTATTTGCTAAGGAAAAGTTTTAGTTTTGAGTGCAAGGATGCAAAAAGGGAAGAAAAGAGTCTAAGGGGACTAGCCTATCTCTAACCTAATGTTATCATACAATGGTAGCCCTATGTCAAGGATTAACAAAAGGGAAATGTCTACCTAATGTTAGCATGCATGGTTTGCAACCTAAGGTCTAACTTGCGTTCGAAGGGAGAAAGCACGTCCTAAGGGAACATGATATGGAAAGCGAGTAAACAAACAAGCTCGAAAGAGCACACACGTAAAAGAATAAGGAAAAGATGAGAAATGCTTTAGCCAAGGGGAGCGTATCACCAGAGATAAACAAGCGGGAGTAAGATGAAGAAACAAAAAGTGATGTCCAAAGCAACTGAACACCTAACCAAGATATAGGAGATCGAGGTAAGCGACAGAAGACAATATGAACAATCACAGAGTATCAGCATCAGCCAATGCGAACTCCTGACAAAGTGTGGGGGTTTGATTGAAAAATCCTTCCCCACTTGACGACTCTATATACAAGCGCAGGCACAACTCCGAAGCTTTGTGGTGCATCACGAGCTAAGGATGATACAAACGAAATTGCGGGGGTTGATTGCTAACCCTTCCCGCTCACCTCCTTTTGAGGACTTTAATAAGGGATGGGGAATTATGCGGGCACAAATATAAACACACGTGCAGAATACCTACTCAAAGGTAGGGTTTTAAACAAACCATATACAAGTAGCAAACATAATGCACACAATGTGGAATTGCCCTAAACAGGTCTTTAAATAAACCAGAGGGATTCCTGACATGATCAGCAACAGAGACCCCTGTCATACATCTCTACCCTACTTCTCATGGCATCAGAAAGCAGTAAAATCCTACTTCTCATGATATCTAGAAAAGCGGTAAAGTGCGGAAATAAGGAATAAAAATGATGTTGCGATGATACCTAACGGAGAAGGTCCGTTGCCTATTCGAAACCATGCAAGAAAAGAGAAAACTCTACTGAGAGCCACCTTGAATTTCCCTGATGAAAATTATGATCTCCACTAGCTTCGAAGGCTCTTGAAACTCTTAAAAAAAATAACCCCGCGATTGCACAAGCACATATCATAGATCGATTACCACTATTGTACACGTGTGACATCAAGATATCTCACGCAAGAATCCAAATATTAGCATAATAATTGATTATTAAAGAAATAAAATTAAATTTCTATAAATTCCGAATATTCCCTACTACTTTTATTAATACTTCTTTATCAGTAAAATCTATCACAAATCATGTGAAGAGAAACTAATAGAAAATAATTAACATTCTATGTTAACGGGGTGTAAATTCTAGGCTGAGGTGTTTGGTACAACAACAATGGCACTAAGCCCATACAAATACTTGCCACAAATCTAACCCATTCCACCATTCCAACTTTCAACATTATTTGGATGATTATATGCAGCAAGTTATAAAACAATTAATAATAATAATAAAAAATTGAAACCAATTAAATACCAAATTGAAACTTGAACGGTGCCATTTTTGAGAGTTTGGTTATGGTTAAGAGAAATGGATTTTAGACTTCTTGAAACCAAACTCTCTTCTTCTCCTCGTGCACGGTGCATAACCTCCCTATACTCTTCTTCTCCGATCAACGAAATACAATTTTGCCATGAACGAGCGCATCACATCACCTTCTTTCCTTCTCCGCCTTTGTTCATCTCCTCACTGATCGAACCGGAGGCCTCACCGTGCCAGATACCACAAAAGATGATTAATGTGCTCTGAAATTCATATAAGGCCACAAATTCCGCTCGGCTTATTCCTTTAACCTTGAACCCACACTTCCAAAAGACCTAACGTCAACGGTGGCAGAGATGTCTTTTTCGACGAAGGTGAGCTTTTCCGATCTCTAGTTCTTTCTCTCCTTCTTCTTATTTTGCATCTTGCACACTTTTGGCGTTGTTTTGGTCGCGTTATTATTGAAGATGTGTGTGATTCGGATTCGGTGTTGTTGTTGCTTGATTGCAGATTCAGAGATTGAAGTTGTTGTGAAGTTGTAGTGATAAAGATGATGGAAAAAGCGTGAGGATGAATATGGAAGAGAGAGTGTTGAGAGAGTTTGTTGGGGAATGATGATGAGGAACATTGATGGAGTGTGAGTTGCGGTTGAAGATTTGTAGTGAGAATTCAGAGGCGAAGTTTGTTGAAGGTTGATGAAGATGAAGAAAAGGTTCTGGAGTCAGGGAGGAGAAAGATTAAAAATGATGGTGAGTTTTCCTTTGTGAATAATTATCTGTAGTTTTCTGTAACTGAATTTTCTCTTTGAAGGAATTTTGTTACCTACCTTTTTTGTAACTGAATTCTCTTTTTTCTGTTATGACTCTCAACTCCCTCTTCTCTTTTTCTGTTGAATTCTTTTGTTATACCCTGTTGGAAGTAGTTAGAGATTGGTTAGTTAGTTAGGGGTTGTTTTTTTGTTATGCAATTTTCTGTTTGGAATTTAGAGGAGTTAGGATGTTAGAGAGCTAACTGGCAGTTTGCAGGGCTGATTAACTGGTTTTATTTGGATTAGTTTCGGTTTTGAAAGCTTTTGTTACAGAAGTTTTGAGGGTTAGGAAGTTAGGGATTCATTTGGGAAATTGGTTAACTATTTTTTGGATCTGTTATGACAGTTGGAAAATTGGTTAGAAGAAGTTTGTTATATGCTGTTTTAAACTATCTTGTATTTCCCTTGATTTCCTTCCTTGAACTTAGTGCAACGCCTGTTTGAATCGGTTTGGATTGTTTTTGCAGGGGAGGATAAATTCTTTCCTCTTCATATGTATTTATGTTTTCTGATTTTATATTCTCCAAGCAGCAGTTGGTTTGGTAATTTGATACGGGGTTGCAATTGTTAATTGGCTATAGGGGTTTTCTGGACTGTTTTTGATGTTTGCATCTGTTTCTTTTGTTTACTGATGCAGGTTATGTGCAGGATGTGAGGTCCAGTTTTTGTAATGAGCAGTATGAAGCATGGCATTTAGTGGTGAGGATGGACATGGAGATGGATCTGTATGGCATGGCATGACGTTCGGTTAGGGCTTGAAACATGGAGGATGATCGGGATTAAAATAGGTTCTAATTGTTGTGTAAAGTTCCATGTGTGTAATGGTATATATGTTGGAAACTTGTAATGTAAATTATAGCGAGATTATGGTATTTTGTAATGGCTAGTAATTCCTTCTCCTTCATGTAACCATTCAAAAGTTTAAAGCAAAATGGATTATAACTTGTATGCCTTTAGAATGAATTTGAATGAGATTTGATGAACCTTGATTGAAACCTTGAATGATGTTCGATAACATGAATGAAACTTGAATGATTATATGGAATACGGCTTGATGTGAATGAATGAAAGGCATGGCTATGAATTAATGAATTCCTTTGCAACTTTGATTCCTTTGCCTTATAATTTGTTCCTTATCTCTTAAGAAATCCATATGGCCAATCTTAATACGTTTGCATCTTAAGAAGATTGATCCAGTTAATTAACTTTGAGCATATTAAAAAGCTTGAATGAATACTTCCAAAGAATGAATTCCAATCAGTTCTCACTCCTCAAAGAAACCACAACTTTCGAATCTTAAATCCTCATTAACTTGCATTATAAGCAACAATCAATTGAAAGAATAATGTTGATGTCTTGAATCCACAAATCCTATCCTGTAATAGGGTGACCATGCATTAAGGAATCCTTCGAAACTGCATACTGAACTTTGAAAATGAACATGGAACTTGAGACATAGGAGGAATAACGAACAAGATAGCATAACATGTGAGTCCAATGAACCTCAATTGATGAATTAACACATTCGAATTCCACGGATAAGAACCTTAATCCTTTTGAGATGCACTTTGGTGAATAAATGACAACAAGATATTGACAAGAAACCAAGCTTTAGCTCAAAATATCTTTATCTGAATCCTTGATGAAACCCTAGCATTCACAATCCTAACGCACTTAGTTCTTGAAGTAACTTTGATATAAACGACGGTGTCTCTTGATGAACTTGGAGGAAGATACCATTGTAGCCTGATAAGAAATATGTCCACAACAACCACAAATCAAAACCCTATCTCCAACCATGACTACTGAAGAAATGACTTGAATCTCTTGAATGAAGATAAGAGCCTCAAAGCCATACAGAAACCCTAATTTATCAAGATCTCTGATCCCATACTGAATTACCGATTAATGATACATGATGTGTTAGATGATCTAATGGGAGTCATGTACATGAGAAAAATGCAAAATGCATAAGCCAGATAAAGGTGAGAGGGTAAGACAAATTTGGGGTATTACACCCTCTTGCATTTATATTTCAAAGTAATTTTTTTTTGTGTTAATCTTTTAAAAAATCTTTCACTCTGCCCAGGGTGAAAGTATTGATATTGTATGGGCATATCTGTTGCTTTGGTCGTTAAAATCATTAAAAATATTTGTCTTTGATTCCCAAATTGTGTCTTTATTTTATTCTTTTTCTTGGAAAATGGTAATCATAAAAATCCTTTTAAAATAAATAATAAATGTAATTAAATCTTCATAATCACTTGCTATATGTGTCAGTTTCTAAAAAAAATCATAAATCATATGTGCAGATTAATTAAAAAACCCATTGAGTACAATGACCCTGCACCCTCTCCCAACATTGAATATCCTATGTATGTGACCGAACAAGAAGAATATGATGAAATCTCAGAAGAGGTTTCACGGTTGCTTGAGCGCGAGGATAGTTCCATTCATCCATATAAAGATCCGTTAGAAACGATTAATTTAGGTTCAGAGGAAGATCCAAAAGAAGTCGAGATTGGAGCATTGCTTCATCCCGACGTGAAAACCAGGTGGATTGAATTGTTGAAAGAGTATGTGGACATCTTTGCTTGGTAATAACAAGACGTGCCAAGGTTGGATACTGATATTGTGGAACATCATTTGCCGCTAAAGCCAGAATGCCCGCCAATCAAGCAGAAGTTGCGAAGAACTCACCCTGATATTATAGTGAAAATTAAAGAAGATGTTTTAAAGCAGATTAATGCCAGTTTTCTTGTGACATCAGTGTACCCTCAGTAATTTCTAATATTGTCCCAGTACCAAAGAAAGACAGAAAAGTTCGCATGTGCGTAGATTATAGAGAATTAAACAAAGCTAGTCCAAATAATGACTTTCCATTACCACATATTGATATGTTGGTTGACAGTACAACAAAATTCAAAGTATTCTCGTTCATGGACGAATTTTCCAGATATAATCAAATTAGAATGGCTCCTGAGTACATGGAAAAAACAACGTTTATCACACCTTGGGGATCATTCTGTTACATAGTGATGCCCTTCGGGTTGAAGAATGCTGGTGCAACATACCAGAGAGCTATGACAACCCTATTCCATGATCTGATGCACAAGGAATTTGAGGTATATGTTGATGATATGATTTCCAAATCCCAGACTGAAGAAGGGCATATAGAGGATTTATTGAAATTGTTTTAGCGTTTGAGGAAGTATCGTCTCCTCTTGAATCCAAATAAATGCACCTTTGGTGTTCGATCAGGAAAATTGTTAGGTTTCATTGTCAGCCAAAAGGGAATTGAAGTTGATCCTGATAAAGTTAAGGCAATTCAAGAAATGCCAACGTCAAGAACTGAAAAGCAAGTTAGAGGCTTCCTAGGGCGTTTGAATTAAATTTCCAACTTTATTTCCCATATGATTGCAACGTGTGAACTGATCTTTAAGTTGTTAAAGAAAGATCAAGGTTGTGTGTGGACAAATGATTTTCAAAGGGCATTTGAAAGTATTAAAGAGTACCTGCTTGAACCTCATATCTTGCTCCCTCCCGTTGAAGGAAGACCATTGATTATGTATCTGACAGTGTTGGATAAGTCTATAGGATGTATTTTGGGACAACAAGATGAAACAGGGAAAAATAATATGTCATTTATCATCTCAGCAAGAAGTTTACTAACTATGAGTCACAGTATTCTGTGCTGGAAAAAACCTGTTGTGCTCTGGCCTGGGAGGCAAAACGGTTGGGTCAATATATGTTGAATCATAATACTTGGTTGATTTCCAAAATGGATCCAATTAAGTATATTTTTGAAAAGCCTTCTCTTACTGGGAGAATTTCCCGTTGGCAGATGTTGTTGTCTGAATATGATATTGAATACCGTACTCAGAAGGCTATAAAAAGAAGCGTGTTGGCAGATTATCTTGCTCACCAACCGGTGGATGATTATCAGTATGGTAAATATGATTTCCCTGATGAGGATGTAATGTTTTTGAAAATAAAAGATTGTGATCAACCTTTTCCCGGGGAAGGTCCTGATCCTGAATCCCGGTGGGGCATGGTGTTTGATGGAGCTATGAATGCTTATGGGAAATGATTTGGTGTTGTAATTATAACTCCTCATGGATCACATATCCCTTTTACTGCAAGGCTGGAATTTGATTGCACCAATAACATGGCCGAGTATGAAGCTTGTATCATGGGTCTCGAGGGGGATATTGATCTCAGAATCAAAATTCTAGATGTGTATGACGATTCAGCTTTGGTAATAAATCATATTAAAGAAGAATGGGATACTCATCACCCTGGCTTGATTCCCTACAAATACTATGCTAGAAGATTATTACCTTTCTTTAATAAAGTGGAATTCCATCATATTCCCAGAGATGAAAATCAGATGGCAGATGCTTTAGCCACTTTGGATTTTATGTTTCAAGTAAATACTTGGAACGATGTGCCTCGAATC